GATGAAGATTGGGAAATAAGCAGAATTTCAAGAGATGAAGGCAGGAGAGAGGGACTGTGCCACACAGAGGCTATTATGTATCAGAGGGCAGGCCAGACACACAGTATTGACAAAGCCCCAGAAGGAGCTGTCTAATGTGGCTAAAGAATAGGGACCACGTATGAGGCATCACCATAGGTCTTGAATATTAACAATGGACTTGGGATTTTACTGGCTCACAACTAGGTGCATCAGAAAATTCTGGAGCAGGAAAATTAACACAGGCAAAGAAATGTTTTGGAAAAACTGACATCATTTGACAATGGTGCAAAAACTGGAGAGTTAAAAACAAACAAAAATGAGCAAAGAAGCAAAAAATAACCAAAGGGACTAAAGGAGATGGATACAGAATGTACTACACTCTTCTAGGTCATGGGCTAGAACAACAAAGGTGATGCCAGGAGAGAGTAAGAGTCACAGGGTCTGGAAATTGGAAGAAATAAAGGCTTCAAAGTTTCCAATTCCAGATTAAAGCTTACATTACTGAAAAAATGAAGGTGACCTTCGGGCAAACAAGAAAGCCGATTTAACTAAAGCGTTCCTCCCCATGGGGATGGGCTGCAGAAGAAATAACGATTTCAGGTTTGACAAGATAATTTCCCTAACAAGACCTGAATCTGTTGCATGCACCTACTTTAATACTCTAAGTGAATGGCTATTGAATGAAATCCAATAGGCACTTGGCTCTCCTTAGACTTGCTTAACTAGTTCATAATAACTTAAACCTGTTGGTCACTTAATTTTTGCCAGTTGGTCTCGGCAAACTGCTCCACTGTCCTCTGAATGACACAGCCAACCTGCTGACCACTATTTGCATCTGTCCTGACCTCCAAGGGAGAGAAATTCCAATGTGGAAAAGGAGCTCACTAGTCTGAATTCTACTTCTGAAAGTGCTACATACAACATGGGAGGCAAGACTTTAGATCCGAAGCATTTTATGCTTCAATATATAAAGTGAAAGCAAGTTTATACCTAAGTATTGATAACATGGCTCCTTATTAATGATCTCTAGGAGGTCAAGATGCCCATCTGTCACTTCATCTTCCATGGGTAACAGAAATTCCATTATTCACATTTAGAGCGGTTGGTCTCCTAAATAACCAAACCTCACAGAAATACCAACTGCTTCATAAAAACAGAAATTACCATTTGCGAAAATACATTGCTTATCAGTGCTCCCCAGCATGTCTTTAGAAGCTATGAAATTAAATTAACACCTTTAGGGAAGGGATTGAAGTATACATGTGTGTTCACATGCACACACTCAAGAGATGCATATAACAGAACTGTCCTAAATATGCTACCCTTCACAGACTTTGTCAGCTCTTCCACAACATGTGGTAAAACCATTTTGCTTTTAAAAAGTGAACGAGGCCACTTTATTCTGCGAAAAATAGAGGAATAACTTAGAAAGCAGAATCCAAATGTCCAGGTTGGAATATGATACAGTCGTGCAGTTCTTACTGCCTCTCTCAAAAGGTATGGTAAGGGCCTCCCTGGTGGCGCAAGGGGTTAAGATGCAACCTGTGAAGCTATCTGATCCCCCGCCAGGGAGCAACCCACATGGAGCAGCAGACCTCTCCTGGCTTGCTTGTGCTCCCCTTGGCAGTGTATTTCCATCGATCTGCATGTTCTGTTCCCCACTCTGTCTCTGGTGAATCCTCTCACCCCCCGCACCTCTGGCCTGTACCCCAGTTCTTGTATGAATAAATAAATAATCTTTAAAAAAATGGTATGGTAAGCGGTCTCTGAGGATGGCTCCCTACAATTTCTACCTTTCCTATTTCCTTCCACATACTCATGACATGGCATGGATTTGTGCTCATCTGACTCAGGGCTGGTCTCATGATCAGCTCTGATGAACAGAAATGTGGCAGGACTTCTGGGGCTTGGCGACTTCCAGTTCCTCTCTTAAGAGCCAGCCACCATGTGAAAAGTCTGACCACTGCCCAATTGGAAAGAGAGGACTCGTGGACAGAGGCTTGATGACAGCTTGGTCAGCTGAGCCAGCTGAGCTCCCAGTTGAATGTCGCCACATAATTGAGGCCGGGGAAAGACGACAGATGACCCCAATCACCCCATAGAATTGTGAGAAATAAGAAATTGAAGCCACTCGTGTGGGGTCCTTTGTTATATGGTAATAAATCATTGAAATAATGGGTGACAAAAGATAACAAATGGTTAAGAGCAAAGCATATCTACTATTCATTGTGTGATTGTCTGGGGATTTTTGTTCATTTCTCTTGCTTACAAACTAATTTAAGCGGAGAAACACTGATGGGACTGTCTCTTGTCACTTTCAAACTCCACACTTCAGGAACATCTAGGACACTGGCACTGACATTCAACACTGGGTTCTGATAGTTCTAAACCCAAAGTTGTGTAGGGGTAGAAAACCCATCTTTCTAACTCTTCAGGGTCCTGAAGAGCTCTCCTTGCTGTATCTTTGCTTTCTGTAATGACTATGCCACAAACCTGCACATGTGTATGTCAGAGGATTAGGAGAAAGAATGCGGAGTAAGACTTCTGAAGACGCTTAACAGAGGCCTTAACTACTCTATGGCATGAAGCCACAGAAACATGGGGCAATGCCACATACTAGCTAGTGAGAGCCACTGAGATCTTGGGGTTGTCTGATACCCAACAATAATGGATAGATACAAGGTTCCTTTGTTAAGATATTAACATCTGCAAAATACTCACGGTACTCTGAAACAACAGAAAGTCTCCTCAGCTCTGGAGGTGGCAACTGAACTAGAACATGATGGATCAGCGGTCTCATTGACAAGCAGAAAATAAATACTATATGGTGATTATCACTGAATTTTTGCTTTTATAGTCTAAGATGATCTTTAAAAGACTAGAATTTGATATTCAAAGTTCTCCCTGACTTAGTTTAACCCTGACTTAGTTTCCTAGTCAATTCTCTCCCACTTATACTTTGTATTCTATTCAGATCGTATTATTTCTCATTCTTGTGCATGCTCACACCCCTCTGGCCTTTCCTCACCCACTTCCTTCCTACTTCATCCAATGTGATTAGAGTGTCTACTCCTGTAAGGCCTGTAAGTCACCCCATAAGAAATCTGCTCTAAATTCACCTTCCAAGGTGGTCTCTCACTCCCAGACTCTTATCATGACCTATGTCTTTTCCTCTTTTGGCAATTGGCTTATTCTGCCTCATCTCCCTTTCTCATCCTCTTAGTCTTAGAAAGCAAGACTTGTATTCTATTTACCTCTGTATCCTCCATAGCATCTAGCAAAAGGTCTTGCACAGAGACTGTACAGTAGTCCGTGCTGTTTTGCATTTAAGACTGAATGACCAATGGGTTGCAGCAGGGCACCAGGACTGTGCACAGAGAAAGAAGCGTGCACTTGGGAGTCTGAGAGATCAGAGTCATCACTGAGTTGCAGGGCGACTTTGGATCCATTAGTCTTTCTGTCTTCAGCTTCCAATCATGTAAAATTGGGATGGCACATATTTCACAGAATTGTGACTACTCAACATGAAAGTGAAAACAACTGCCTTTCTGTGTTTGACATAGGTGGTGGCTCAATTATCAGAGCTTTTACACAAACAATGACAGAGTATCACATAGGAGTTAAACAAATCCCTGACATTATTTTCTCTTAAAAGAGTTAGGTGGTGACAATAGCAACTCTAGCTCTGTTTAGTTTTTTTTCCAGAAACTGAGATTTCAAAGACTTCAATTCTAGTTTTATTAAGATGCTCATGTTACTCCACAGTTCTAAACTTTACAGGTAGTCACCACTGAAAGCCAAATTTTCTAGGCAACAAATGCAGCTTCTTAAAACAAAGCAAAATCGCTTCCCTGTACTAGCCCATTTTTAACAGAGTATTAGTGCTCACAGCATCCCCATTTCTCTACCAGGAGACCGAAACCACCACAACAGTACATCAAAAGCTAGAAATTCTACATGCAGAATGAGAGGACAGTGACAGATGCAACTGCAGTTGTTTACATGAAAACAGGTTCAAAGAGATGAAGAGGCACTTTTATTCATTATGTCAAGTAGTGGGTGTCATAGTTAAAAGTAATTCAGCAACATCTCCTTCATTTGCCTGTACTAACTGACACTTTCTATGAACACAGTCACATTGCATTAGCTCAATGGTAGATCTTACAAGACAAAATCAAGATGAAGCAAACTCAAATGCCTGCCACTAAGCATCACAGGCAATCTTAGCAGTTCACGGGCAGCCAATTCCCAACACAAAGGGTGACAGCTGCCCACCCTCCATTGACCACTGCTTCAAGGAATGAAGACTGGTGCTGCCAGACCTCCTGAAGAGATTGGGGTTGGGTTTGGGGTGAAATATCCTGATTATTAAAGGTTGTCATGCCTTTTATTTTAAAACTCTCTGAGGGGCTGAATATATATATATATATATATATATACACACACACACACACCAGGTATGGCCGCAGAATGATAGTTGCAACATTTCCATCAGGACTGCAAAGTCATTTTGAACGATGACTATTAAACGTTATACTTGTGTTTTTGAAGTTGATTATTTATAACTGACATGAAATTCACTCTAAGAAACACCAAACTCTCGCATTTATAAAGCTACACTCACTCTGGTTTTGGACTTTGGTGTTTTTCTGTCTTACAGTTTTCAATTCCCAGGGTACCCTATGGCACTGTCTTTTTATGTCTTTAAAGATTAATTTATTCAATTTGCTGATTATACCAAAAAAATTAAAAATAAATACTAGCCCCAGAATAAAAGCTCTATGGTCTTCCTCCAAGTCTTCAATATATAAATTATGATGGAAACTGTTTAGTGTAAAAGATCTGTATTGGTTTCTATCATATATCACTATTCCTTTACCAGCAGCCCCCAAATACCTAACACAATGCCATTACAAGTACTCTCTCCTATAACAGATGCTAAGGTCAACAGGTCAATAGTGAAGTTCAAGGCCACTCACCGCCAAACACATCTCCGTTCTGGTAGTTTTTCCCTTTCTGGGCTTCCTCTTCATTTTGAACAGTGGCAACATGCTTGGCGGAGGCACAGCCCATAGTCTCATTCGGTCAGCTTCAGCCGGGCTGAACTGCAAATCATCTCTACAGACACAGGGACATTTTTCTTTTCTTTAAAGACTTTAAAATCCACCTTCCTGCTGAGTCGTTCAAGTTCCGTGCACCTACGAGGACAGAAAGCTGGATCAGAATGTGTGAAACAAAATGCATGTCTGACTCTCTGCTGTATGACCAGAGGCCAGTAGAATTCCCACATGATCCCTCTGCCCTGGGCTGCCCTGGGCACTGAAAAACAAGATGCCAACCAGGTCATGCTCACCTGCTTCCCACTCAGAGGGCAGGATCAGAAGGCATGTCCCCTGCACAACATGTGGCTGAATTTTTTGAAGAATACAAAAAATGGGGCTTCCCTGGGTGGTACCAGAGGTTAAGTCTTAGCACTATCAAGCTATTGCCAGCCATTGCAGCACAAGTTCGATCCCCGGCCAGGTTGCTGACCCACCTGGTGCCGTAGACCTCTCCTGTCTCACCCACTGCTCCCCTCAGCAGTGTATTTCTGTAGATCTGCCTGCTCTGCTCCCGACTCTGTCTCTGGTGAATCCTCTCACCCTTGTTCTTGTGTGCATTAATAAATAAAAATAAATCTTTTTTTTTAAAGATTTATTTATTTATTTATTTTTAGGCAACACTGGGTACAGTCAGAAGTGCGGGAGGGTGAGAGAATTCACCAGAGCCAGAGCAGGGATCAGAACAGGCACACTGACGAAATACACTGCTGAGGGGAGCAGCGGGCGTGGCAGGGGAGGTCTGTCGCGCCATGTGGGACCCTCGCCGGCAGCCGGGGATAGAACCGGCGCTGCAGAGGCTGCGGTCAGCTTTGCAGCCCAGTGCTCAACTGCTGTGCCACCAGGGGAGGCCCTAAAAATAAATCTTAAAAAAAGAATATAAAATGCACGTGTATCTATTCAAGTAAATATTTGAGCACCTGGACTTACCACATATATACTTAAAGTGCATGTATGCTTGTTAATGTTCTAGAATCTCACAAGCCTCCAGAGTAAGGCAAGCACATTCAGGAGATCCATCCAGCTCAAGAGGCTGGGGAAAATTCTCCATCTTCCCCAACCTGCCCTGCAGTTCAGCAATTCCGAGCTTCTCAAAATTTGCCAGGAAGGGCCTCCCTGTTGGTGCAAGGGGTTAAGATGCAACCCATGAAGCTATCCACAGCCACCGCAGCACGAGGTTCAATCCCTGGCCAGGGAACTACCCACATGGCTCAGCAGACCTCTCCTGACTCGCCCGCTGCTCCCCTCAGCAGTGTGTTTAAGTTTATCTGCGTGTTCTGTTCCCCACTGTCTCTGGTGAGTCCTCTCACCCCCCACACCCCTGGCCTGTACCCCAGTTCTCATGCCCATAAATAAATAAATCTTTTAAAAAAATTTGCCAGGTAGAAGTGGTCTTCCTTTTCAGGGTCACTGTGGGCTAGTTTACATATTTCTGGTGGTTCTATAAATAGTTAAAAATTTTACTTCACCCGAAGTGACATTATTTAAGGGTAAAGGAAAGAGATGGGGCAAGGTCTCAGACTTACTTTTGTTTATTTTCCACTTAGCTGGCTGAATGTTTTAAGAGTTGAACAGATGTAGGGACTTAAAGAAAACAGCAAGACAGTGGTCTGCCCAGAGGAAGAGTTTTTGCCCATTTATGACCTCTAAGAAAGGCTGAAAGAGTGTGTATGGATGCACACAAAACTGATGATTCCATTCCACCCAAGGTCACTGCCCAAATTCTCAGGACTGGCTACACTCAGATGGCTCAGTTTTATTTATTTTATTCTTTCATTACCCTTATTTAGTAATTCAGTCTTGTAGATGACTTATTATAGTCTTAATGGATGTTTCCTTTCAAACACCTATCCAGCTATTGCATTATAATACAGGGATAGAGGTCTTTACTCCTCACACCGCACAAAGAAAAAGCAGCACCGAGTTGCTCCTCTTTATCTTCGTTGGCACCCACAATCCACTATCCTCCTCTTCCTTTTATGAACAAATAATGTTTCTCAGGCTCAAGAAAAGTGCTAGCAGGATGCATCTCAGGCTTTCTCTTCCAACAAGATCGCTGTCCCTCAGCACTGCTTCCAAGAGCACTGACATCTATAGACACAGAAATCTAATCATTTAAACCATAGAGTCTCAACAAAGGGAAGTTTTCAAATTAGCCCAACACTGAAAGATAACCCTAAGTCAATCCCATAAGTGGACTTGGATGCAAACGTAATGATGTTAAATTAAGCCAAGCAAATACAAATTTCAATATTGACTCTATGGCTATGCTAGTCAAATTTTGTATAGTTCTTCAGACTGTTTTCTATCCCTGATTAAATAAAATCATTAGTAGGCAGTATAGTGTTGGTAAGTGAGGTTTTACAAACAAGGAAGAATTTTTCATAAGTAATTAATCCTCCTACTTCCTCTATCAGGTTAACAAATTATCACTTTTTTAAAGCTCTATGGAATACACATATACACTTATTCTGATAGGTTTTAGCAGTAAATGTCATTAAAGCTACGGCACTTCAGCTGGATGATCTGTTCACACTGGTCTAGAGAATCAGGCACCTGAAGGGGGAGAGATGCTGGCATGTTTAAAAAGTCCACACAGTACACAGTGCAGTGAGTGCTGTGATATGTGCTTCACAGGAATTGGTGACAACGCAGAATCCAAAAAAGCAGATAAGTTGTCACTAGGGAGAGGGAGAAATTAAAAGAGAATGTGCAATTTTTTGATGAGTCTTAAAAGTTTAGTAGAAATCTGCCAGTCTGAAAGAGCAGGTGCATCATCCAGATGTAAGAAAACAAACTGAGCGAGACACCAGAAATGGAAGAGCATGGAGTGTGTGCATGCGTGCACAAGCCTACGCACTTGTTCACAGGGCTCAAGGTTGGCAGGAGGAGGGAAAGGGACTCTACATGCTCCGTAAAGGGCCTGGAGAAGGGCTGGTTAACATTACCCAACTTAAAGTTAAGCTACAGAACATCCTAAGATACAGGAAGTCTCGGTCATCCAAGTGTGAGGACACTTTGAGAAGTGTGGGTGATAGAGAAATCCATTCTGACCACCTATCAGGTTTTAATGCTACATCACTGAATAATGAGGCAGGAAAGAGAGGAAGGGGATCCAGCATAAAGGCAGGAGAAGAGGGATCCTTTCCAGTGGGTAGGCTGCTAAGAGTTGTTGCTGCTGCTGCTTGGATTTCCCAGCCAGCACCTTTTGAGAGCGGTATACTACTCGCGCCTCAACTCCAGCATTGCCACATAAAGTAACAGGTGTGGGTTCCCACAGTGAATTCCTTACTTTTCGAAAAAGAATGTGGGAAAACAACTTCTCACATATCCAGAAGAGAATCCCAAGTGTAAGGAGAAACGATGCCTTCGCCTCGCCTCCCTGTCTGTTGCCACCTTTTCAGAATAAATGCAATAAAAATAGGAGGAAGAATGGGAAAAGCTAACAAAATCCCTGAAGGACACCAGAAATCCAGAGTCAATTTGCAATGATCCTCCCTGATACCCTCTTCCTTGGCTCTTCCTCACTCCAATTTCATGTTGACAGTTGTATGTGCTATCCAAGAAGTTAATGGAAGAATCTAAGTTGTGATGATCCTTTGCTACCCCCTGAAAGCATTGTATAGTGTTATGCCTACTTTCAAAGTAGTTAGTATCAAAAACCTTACTTGATTTTAAAAAGTTGACATCAATGAAAATCAAGTACATTGAAGCAGAAAGGAAACATGTGAAGAATTTCAAAGGATGTCTCTTATTCAGGCATGGAGGTGAGAGGCATATTAACAAGCAAGTCAGATATGATTTACATCCAGCTCAAATGATGATTCAGGAAGTTTCCATTTAATTATATTTCTTAAAAAGCCTTGTCTTTTAATATTAGCTCTCTTCAAAGCCTAAGTAGCTGTAGATTTTATTTTTCAAACATATACACTATATATTTTACAATAGTAATTTACTTTAATAAGAGTGGTATTTTTAAGTTTTATAAGAGATCATTTTAACAGAAATGATTCTAAGATTTTGCCCATTTTGAAGATAATAATCAAGAAGTTATTTGAGATGCAGAAGAGTTCCAATTCATAAAGTTAACTATATATCACTGGGGAAAGTTTCTTTACTCTGTTATTTGGATTCTGCACATAAACAATCATTCATGAGGTTAATCAACAGATATTTGTTGAAAATTACTAAGTGTGTGAGCAGTGTTTAGTAGGCACTGGGTAGAGAGAAGTAAACAAGACAAGATGTGGTTTTCTTCCCTGTCCCCAGACAACACGAACAGACTGAGAAAGGAGATCATTCGAAGGACCAGTTTCAAAGTATCACGGTTCAGATACAGCAGTTCAACAGAGGATGATAGAGGCCTCTCCCACTCCCGACACCTCGCTTGGTCCTGAGAGAAGGAATGTCGAGAAAGGACAGGTTTGAAACCTGGCCACAGCTCAGAAACAGCTATAAAGCACCCCCAAACTGATCTATTTTATAGCCTGATCTATGAATGCCAAGGTTTCGTTTCCACTGAAAATGCAGTTCCTGGTCCTCAGACTGGGCAGACCTTCAGAAACATACCTCAACAGTTACCACAAGAACCTGCTCAAAAATTTTCCCTCAAAAATTTTTCTCCTTCACATAAACCCTAGCATATTTTAGCTTCCATTTTTCCATTAGCTTTTCTCAGCTTTTTCTCTCTAACTCTCACACCCCCTATTCACTCACCTCCCCAAAACCACACCACTGAAGAGGTGAGTCTGAAAGTGTAAATGAGCATGCAGAGACCACAGCACCAGGAGATCTGAGTCTTGTTTCCATATGTTGGTATGAACAGCATGCAGCTTCTGAAGTTGCAGATCATAGTGTGAGAATGAATCTGAAGCATCTCTTTGATGTTTGATGGAATCTTCTAGTACTAAGTCTCATTGAAGACATTTTTTAAACAGAATAATCTATGATAGGACCATCATGCACCTCTAAAAATTTGGGGTCTAAAGAATTGCTCATGGCTTTGTGTAAAAGTCTCGCCAAATGAATGTAGACTGCATCCTGCACCATGTAACAAGAAATTGCAATGTCTACCCACAGTGCTCTGGTACCTAAATCTA